CAAAAAAACACAGAAAATAGATGGAACCCTGATAAATGGTAATATGGATTTTACACCGCGGTCCTTGGATTCATTGCGGGTCAAAAAATAGGGCAACCCGGTAACCCCAACATGCGCATACCCACATTGCACATGGCTTGACCTGGGCTGATGGGTTGTTTCTTTCTTTACAGCACCAAGAAGGCCTCCCACCAGGTACCTTGAGTCAGGGAAACGCGAAAAGCAAGTCGTTCGATAGAACTGGGCAGGTGTACCGTGAATCGAAGCTGAGCCATCTTTTAAAGTAATCACGTGGATTTTTCATGCCAATACGTTGTATAAAATAAGCGCATGCCTAACATCAAAGCCGAGTCGTCTCCCACCAAGCTTCCAAGGGATATTTAAGCTAACACCCCCCCACTTTCGACCCCAAAGAAGGTCCATGCTTTGAGATTGGCACTTGGTTCCCACTGTTTAAACAGTGGTTCCTGCTTAGACAATTGGGCCTGTGGTGTTCAAAGATACCCTCTTTCCAAAAATGATGGAAGTGGACGATTTGAAGGCTTCCCCGAAAGGAAAGTCCCCTTCCAAAACCCTTCTGTCAGCTTCTATGATCGTCGGATAGAGGGTACGTAGTGGTTCCAACCATGTTGAAACAGTTGGCACAACCCTGTCAAATGGCACGAGGGTGGCATTGTGGCCAATATGTTCAAACCAATCTTGTCATATTGTTCAAACAAGCTCCTTTTGGCTTCCTTGCAAATGATGCGACCAAAGGCTGGTTCTTCCAACACGTAGGTAGGACCCCAAGAATGGGGCGCGTTTTCCTTTTGACCTCCTTTAATACCAGCGCAAACCAATTGGGCACTCACAGGCACAGCCTTCCGATTTTCCAACAGGCACCTAAGGCGCTATGAGAGTGCAGGCAAAATGCTCCAGTGAGAACTACTCACTGGCTGCTGCGTTGAGCCACCAACCCTGTCCTCCTTTGGGATGGCAAAGGATACCGGCAGGAACCGCGCGCCCGCGCACACACGGGGCCGCGGGGCATTGAAAGGCACCTTCTCCTCGTAGAACCTGAGACTTGGCATAGTGATCCCCTCTGGTTTCCTTCTGTTTCCTGCTGGTTCCCTGAAATATTGGTTCCTTTTGGTTCCCCTTGCTACATAAAATGCTTGGTTTTCTTTTGGTTCCCTTGAAATTCCACCCAAAAGGGGTCCGGCATATTGGAGAAACGCCTTGGGTTGGGGAATGAAAAATCCGCTTCAGCATCATCCATTGCTCATACATCCAAATGATTATTGAGGGCACCTCCCTTTTTCTGGTTTTAAGAGGCAACCAAAAAGGAAAACCAAACTAAAGATCATGCACTTTCGGGGCCATGTTCCGGTTAGTTCCTTTTGACGCCGAATGAACAAGGGCAGAAATGAGCCATGGTCCAGCTTCAAAGTTCAAGTTGGCATTCTCAGTATGGACGGGTATAAAACCACAAATTCAAACTTGTATTGCAGTATATTATACCCCCTAAGACCCCTATATTAAAACAACAAAAAAACAACCGAGGGGTTGATTCATACTGTGTCCACGTTTCATCGCGAGCTCTTCGCCCCAAAACTCGGCAGATGCGTCAGCGAGTCACGCCAAAGGCGGGCTGCCGGAGAGGCAGCGCAGGCCGTAGGGCGGCGCCCCCGGGGCCCAGAAGCCGGCGGCCAAGGCCTGGGCTAACGCGCTTGGTCAACGCTCCTAGGTCCTCCAGTAGAGAGGTTGGAATAAGGGTGGCCTTTTTGCCGTAGTCTATTTTAGTAGGGGAACCCTCCCCCAAACAAGGGTAGATACGCACCACTGGGGGACCTAGGCGCGTTTGGGAGGCGGCGTCTTTGTTGGGGTCCGAAGGTGGTGGTGTTCATGGTGTTTTTCTTTTAAAGCCACCAACAAAGCGTCGCTTTTGTTAGGGGTCCTCCCAAGGTGTTTTTTTCATGATGGCTTTCCTTTAACGCCCCAACAAGGGGGATCCTCACAATACACAAACTCAGCTTTGGCCATGTCGACTTTTCGGATGTTCAAAACATGGACCCCCCAAAACCCACACGGTCAACACTCATTTTGGGTCACCTGGGTGTTTCCAAATCACATTTTGGGTCATGCGGCGTCGAAACACGGGAATTCTCTTTGGAGATCCGAGCCGCTGAAATGGGCTCGTCAACTTGCAGTTTTCAGCCCGCCTTGTGACCTCCTGCTAAAAAACCCGGCACCCCCGACCCAGAGACCTCCGGCCACGGCAAAGGATTACCAGGGCATAGTTCGGGGAATACATCAAAATGGGTGTATCTGTTGTAGGGGGCTTCCAACATGGCTTCAGTTTTTTCTCTTGGTGCCTTAAAACCAAATGGATATCTTCAACAGAAGACACACCCAAATAAAGCCTCAACCCATTGGCCAAGGGGTTCTTTGGGGAGGGGGGTTGCAAGGTCCCTGACCACGGTTCATTCTCTAAACTGCTAAGTTGACTGGCTAGTGACGAATCTGTTTGGCAAGAACAATGCGGGAGCTGTGTCCATGCAAAGTGGAAAACGGAAATAACAAAAGGCGGGCTCACACAAAGCATCTAAGGGACGGAAAGGCAGTCCAAGGAAAAACCCTTCTTCGAAGACTAGCAACCTTGGCAAACGCCTACAAACGTCACCCTCTGTGGCAACAACTCTTAGGCCTTACAGAGCCTTACAGTAGACTGAAACGATGAAAGTCTGGCAAAGCTTTCAAGGTGTGGAGGCTGAACAAATAGGCAAATGCAAAGCAAGTGAACCAACCGGAGCCAGCCACATCCAACAAGACACCTGCAAATTCTTTCAAGTTGAAGGGTGTCCCTTGCTCCCAGCTCGCAATATACAGGGCCTTACTTTGTTGAATTTGAAGAACGACTCACCAGGCACCCCGCTCTACCGGCTGGACAGGTACTGGGAATTCTACTTGATGTGCTGCTGATGACCCTGGTTGATAAGTCTCCTAGGATCTCCTAGGTTTTACCCAACATACAACCCAATTGCGGGACTGATCAACCAGCGTCAAATGCTGGCAAAAAGACTGTTTTCTGCAGGTTTGTACTGAATATGAACAGAACCAAAACACAGACAAATACCGGAACATTTGATCCAACAACAATGAAGTAATCGAACAGCCTTCCCAAGTACCCAGACTGAGAACAAAAGCCTTGGAAGCGGTGTCTGGGTGCCTCTTGACGAGGAGGGCGGGGGTCATGCAATAACCAGAGCCCAGACCCTCAGTGGCCATGGAATTGCAAGGGCACAGTTTTTTGGGGGTTGGTTGAAAAGGGAATCAAACCCGTTCCAGAAAAAATGGACAAAGGCTTGGTCTGGGACAACAACCATGAAATCCTTGAGAAAAACCGAACACAAAGATTCCCAGCAACAACAGAGCCGGACACCCAGAGGAACATTGGTTTCAGGAGGCCTGCATCTGTGTCACATGTTCTTGTCTCAAAAAAGGGCAACCCACAATTCCCGTTTTGGACCTCCAAACAAGTGGCGCTGGATCATTGAGCTGATACTAAACTGCAATGCTTGAAGGGGAAACTAAAACAAAACAGGTGGTATCCCCAAAAGCCCAGGAACCACCCGGAACCCCTGAAGGCTGTTCCGACTCACCCCAGAGCTTACTGGGCAGAGACCCCATAGCTGTCAGCTGTTGCAAAAGAATACATCCAAAAACCCAGGGGATCAGTTAAAAAGCTGGCATGTCCATCTTTCGGGAAACAAATCAACAAAAGGTATCATGAATCGAGTTAGACCCAGTGATAGAACGTATTGTTTGCTTCAGTTTGACTGGTTAAATAAAACAAATGTATCCAAAGTCTACCCAGGTACCGCTGGGTCTCTGGGTTGACCTAACCGGTCCCAGACGCAAGGTCCAGCGCCAGCCACCGCATGGCCCGCCCATGCCGGCCACGCGGCTTGTGGTAGCGCCCAAGATATCGGTCCCTTTTGGTAGGTCTTCGGGAAACCAACCTGAACACTCACTTGTTCGCGGTGATGTGTCATTTGTCACCTCTTGGCTTTAAAGGAAAAGGGGTGCTGACAATGTCATTATTGCGGTTGTTCATGTTTTCCTAAACAACCTGGAAGGAGAGTAACTCAACGACACACCTTGTTTTGCGGTGGTTGTCTTAACACACTCCTCAGTTGACCAAATTATCCTAAGGGCTCATGACCATCCTTGATAAACATGCTGAACCAAACTCTACCCGCAAAAAGGGAAGTGTCCCTGCCTCAAAACAAAGCTGTGCCTTATATTGAGTGACGAGGGGTTTGACGAACCAAAGACCAACCATTCGACTCGCTTTGGGACCCATGGCCTTGCGATGTCTGCTTCCCTGTCAACCGTTCACCGCACTGTGAAACACATCTGCGCTTCTTTGGCTGCGAGCCAAGCATAGGTCTCCAAAATGGGCTGTGAATGGAAACGTGAATTAAAAGCTGCGGTCTGGCGGTTGAACCTTTTGACCCATACCCATTTCAAGAAGTAAAGAGTTTTCAGGCGTCATCAGTGAGTTCATTCTGCCCCGATCAAAGGGCTCGCGCAAAGACATCAACTCGAGGTGTCCCTCTGCAATGGACCTCAGAACTGACTGCTGAACCATCATTGGCATTCGGCGCAGGCAGAATTTTCAACTAAGCATCGATTGGAATCGGGGTGGCCGAACAAATGGTGAAATTCAGGCAAATGAGCATGACAAATTCAGGGTTCCCTATGATAGGCATGTGACAGAATGGCTCCTAATTATTGACAATTCACATGTAATCTCAGTACACGTGCTCTCTCTCTCATAACCATGAGAACCCTCAGATCCGGTCTATCGTTACCTCCATTTTGCTTAAGTCTCTTGAACAAATACATGTGTCCAGTAGTGAAATCGATTCCCTTTGAAACCAACAGGGGAAAATAAACAACATATTCAGTTCAGCCCCAGTGGACGGTGGAAATTCGAGCAAGTCTAAGCGCGGCACACAGGTGTAGGGTCGGCACACCGATGGGTCCCCTCCAGGAGCACACCAGCCGGCGCAGCTCCAAATGCACCTGGCTCCCTCCAACTGGAGCGATAGCCCAACTCGAACGAAACCGAAGCGTTTGAACAGGGGTTCTTACATTATACATCTGAATAGTGCCTTGTAAATGGTGGTTTCCCTTGATGTTTGTGGAAAAAGCCATGTTTCAAATGGGCAAACCGTATCTTTTCAGGAGCCCTGTTGAAACATCCGGGTTTCCTTAACCCAGTGCTTCCAGTTGCCAGCCACTGGTAACAGTCTAGGTTTGTACATGGTTTTCACCGGCCTACTAACCTACTAGAGTGGCTTAAGTGGAAGCTCTGGGTAAGAGAGCGTCTGGTCCTTACGAAGCCCAAGCCTGATTGCTTCCAGTCCCTCGATTTATTTCAAGAACCCAATGGAATTGTAACGGGAACCCAACGGAAACAAACCAATCTCCTACCTGGATCTCATCCTGAGCGACCCTGTCCAGAGGAAATCAAGTTCGTCGCTTCAACAAGGCCAACTGGAAAGGGCGCCCTTCATTCTCCCAAACAGATGGTCTACACGCAACTTCTGGGGTGGCGCATTTGGTCTGAAAAATGGGTTACACCTGCCGCACAATGTAGCTCTAAAAGTGCCGCAAGCTATCCACTCTTGCGTTCCTCTGAAAATGAGCAGTAGGGCTGCCATTGCGCCCAAAGTTGTGGCTGATATCGCGCCATGACAAAGAAAGATCATGGGTGGTATTGAACGGGAAACCCAATATGCTCTGCGAGCCACAGGCAACACGATTGAACCCATCAGTTGAAAACCAATGTTGGAACATCCAGGCAACCATACAAGTAAACTGAAAGTCTGCGGCTGGACATGTGAATCACAAGTAGCTGGCTCCAAATGCTTGTTGCAGTTTTGATTTAACAACCTGGCCAGATCCTGCTGGTGGAAACTGTGCGAACTCTCCTTGTTCACTCATTCAACGTAGTCTTCCAAGGGGTTGCACCTCTCCCTCCCCCAACCCTGAGAAGAAGCAGCAAACAAGACCACACACTTGGAGAAGCACATCTTTGATCTAGAAGGCGTGCCCAGAAGACGTCACCGGATAAGGGGTGGCTGTTGTTCGCCCACTTGGTCATTCGCAAAACAAAGGCGAGGGCAACGGAAAGGTGACAAAAGTAGCGACACCTTTTGCAGTTGGAGGCCCATGCTTTGGTGGCCGCAAACCAGCGAACACGTTTGGCACCGAAGAGAACGTGACAAACCGCCTCCAACAGCTGTTGGCCCACTTGTCAATGAAGCAATGAATCTCCAATTGTTTTTCCTGGCGGTTTTCCTGTACAACCAACCAAACAAGGGGTTCCCTTGACAAAAGGCACACCCATGTGGGAATGTGTCAAAGCGTCGTCCCAATGATTGACGTCCTGGCTGGGTTTCCTAACCAACCCCAAAAGGGTCAAGTTGAACACACCCGCGCGTAACGTCCGGGGGGGTTCGATCGCAGAACTCTGCACTGTCGATCGATTCTCTCGCTGAGCCCGTGGCGTCATCTCTCACCATCGTGTTGGCACAAGTCACGAGCTGGGTCTGACTTACCCCAATGTGGAACTGGGGCCGTGTGTTGTTTAAGGGCAACGTTGACCCCGTATTAATCAACCCCAGTTTATAGGGGGGTGTCCCAGGGTGTAGTGGGGAATCATCACTCTTGGAGGGGAACACCCTTGTATTAAGGACATTGCCCTCTTCAGTCTTGGTCTAAAGGGAAAGCGACTGAACAGAGCCTTGCTGAATTTTGGAAGCATGGATCCAAGGTCAAAAGGCTTGGCCGCAGCTCTCATGCAGCGAGTACCAGGAGATGCTTTCAGCAGTTTCTGCAGCTTCTTGCAGGGCCAGAGAGTGTTGAGAACTTCGTTAAAAGGCAGTCAAGGGGCTATATCCGTTGTTGACAGCATGCTCTCCAACTCTATGGCTGTGCCTTTGATTCTTGTCAAGGCGCCGACGGAAGAAGAATCCGGAGACTGGAGGGAGCAGGAGGAAGAAGCCTCTTCCGAAAGAGAACCGGAATGACACCTGGCTGTTCAATTGCACTTGCAATCTTCCTCCAATCACCTTCCCTTGTCCTAGGCCTGGATGGCATCTGAATCTCTCTGGGACATGTTGCAACCGTCTTCACCTCGGCTACCGCCACATCCACTTGAGCCAAACGAATGTGCGGATGGAAAAAGCAATGTCTCACGACATACAATATGTTATGGGTCAAACTGAGATGTCCTGCAAACACCTCAATTTCTGTTTACTTCTTAGAGGGACAACTAAAAGAATTACAAAAAAAAAGCAAACTGGCAAGGCTAGTTAAGTCTGGCAATGTGGTAAGCTAATCTTAAGCTCCACAATAGAATTGACATGTTTCTTTGGCTGAATGCAACCAGGTCTTGCCTCTTCTGGTTTCCATCCAGGCTTGCTCCTTTTACTGATGATGCAGACACTAGTGCCAAAGAGCCTGGACATTTGAGTAGCTGGCGGCAAAGGACTTGTGGTTTAATATTCAAAAAGGGGGTGTTCCAGAACTAAGGTACAGTCAAATGAACGTCGGAACAGAAAGGGTTGGAAACGGCCTGCAACAAACTGAGATATGGAAAAACCTTAAAAATGAGTTGGTGGACACAAATACCCAGTAGAGATTGTCCGCCAAAGGGTTTCCAGCTGTTTTTCATGCCAACCCAGGGCTGATAAACAAAGCCAACGCCTTGCTGCACTTTTGATTTGGGTTTCTACACATGCCGTAAGTCTTGCCTCTTTTGACAGAGGAATAGTGCCGCTGGTGTTGTTTGGGGAGTTCCTGCAGATCAAAAGCAAAGCTGTAGAACCATATTTGACGAAATCGCCTCGCACCGCTTTGAACCGTGGAAAACAATTATATATGTGTGTTGTTGGTATTTACAGAAAAATCATCACTCCAAGGTTTCTTTCGTGGTGCAGGATTTTGTACATCCACAGTATGGCTGGCGGCAAATGGCCTGCCATAGCCATATCAACACCATTTGCCAGGCAGGTCTTGGTACATTTTCCGATCGGCGCAGAAATGCCAAGCTTGAGAAATGACGCCGAAGGTTCATCAAATTCCCCACTTCGAAACCAAATTGCAAACATTGGTCGACTTTTTACCAGTACACCCCGAACAACTGCTTCTTCCTGTGTGTTGAAGGGACACCAAAAAGGGCAAACATATTTTGACTTTTCGCCACCACCCCCGAAGAACTGTTTTTACCTAAGTACTGTCCAACAAACAAATAGTTGGGGTGGTGGTAAGAACATCTTGCTGACCCTCCATGCCTATTGAGGCAGGTGCGCAACTGTTTTTCAGAAGCCAAGCTCAAGAGTCGGCCTCATGCTCACGAATTGGAATTCGGGTTCGCGCAATCTCAGCATCCCACCCTGGGATCTGCCGATATGGGATGCCCAAGCGAGCTGCAAATCCACCCGAAATATGTGTGCCACAAACTATGTGACACGCAGCTGGGTATGGAAGGAACTCCACAAATGCACAAATCAGGCAGAACGTCCCAAAAAACTAACCAGAAAGCCCCCTATCTCTAGGGGTCAACTTGTCTGCCAAAACCCCACAGGAAGAATGAACAGGTTGAGGCAGCTCCAGTCGGTTTCTCCCGTCCTCAAACACCCCTTTTGAGGGATCGTGGCAGCTTATCTCTTGCTCCAGACTCCTCTGCAGATTAACATAAGGACCCCCCAAAAAAGAAACAAACAATCTACTTCGGAATCTTGGAAATTGGCCCCTTCAAAAGTTGAAATTTCCCGGTGGTTTCCATTGAAACTGCCACTTTGGGAGGTTTCAAGGGAAATGGCCCGGAAACCCTGACATTGGACCGTTTCTTTTAGGACGTCAATCTGCAGGGAAGCGTCGAACCATAGCCTTTGGCTCAGAAGTCTTTGCTCCTTGCGGTCCAGCATCTTTGTCGCTGGCACCATACACCACGCTCGCCAGAGGCAAGAGCGGATCATCTGGCAGCCTGGCACAGAAGCCCCAGCTTCGGGTCACATGCCCATCCTGAAACTGAGATGTTTGGAGAGGATTGGCACAAAACCAACGGTCGTCTTTGTCACTTGAATGGTTTGCCACAAAAAATAATGTCGTCCCAAAAAGGAATGCAGGTCAAGGAACTCAGGGAATGTGCACATCACCCTAACAAAATCACATTAGGATATAAAACCACCAAAAGGGGACATCTAGAGAACCCAGCGGAATTGTCTGTGTCGGCGGTAACACATAGCAAACCGTAAAACTAAGCAGGATTCCAATCAGCTCCTAGGCATCATGACGTTCTCCAGATCAATGCTATGCGCAGATCGTTTTGCAAGGATCTGAAAATACAATGCCCTTGGTGGTGATTCACTTGCTAAGTTTGGCCAATAAAGTCGATGCAAGAACCCCGTGGATCAAACATCTAAGAAGAAATGTAGCTGCACAAAAGGTTTCAGCTCGCTTGCCAGCGAGATGAATTCTTGAGTTTCATTCGGGTGTTCCATTCAAGCCGGGATCTGGATCACTTTTGGGGCAACACCCGTTGAACCGGCTCTTAAGCATCCAGCTGTGTAACTTCACGCATTGGTCTCAAGGAAACTCAAGAGTCCAACACAGAATGCCCGCGCTGCACTTACTACTGGTTAGCATCTGTGCCGCAACACTTTTGCGGTCTCTCACTATCTCTAACTTATTGATGCGTATATTGGTCGGGAAACAACAAAACACAACACAACAACACAAATACAAAACAACAAACAAGTTGTTATGCCCCTCTGAAATTGTATTTCCCTTCTGAGATTCCTTCCCCAAAAGTACAACTCCCGTGTGGGAAGTGAAGTGCGATTCAAACGGGAGTACTGAGTTGCACAAAGTAGCAATTGTTCAGTCTACAAGTCGCTTACGCTCAGCTTACGCAAGGATACTCGTAACAAAATGCATACGAGTTCTTACGCGCCTGCGTGTTTAGCTTATGCGGGCCGATTTTTTTTGCTAGCTCCTTGAAGGGTGCTAACGCTGCCCAAAGGGAGGGAAACCGGCAGGAAAACCCGGGATGTATGGGGTCCCTATACAACACAGAGAGGAAAGAGAGAGAAAGAGAGAGATAAAGACAGAGAAAGAGAGCGAGAGAGAGAAGAGAGCCCTCTCTAGAGGGTTGCGTAGTTTGGAACCAAATATGGCCATGGGGATGCTGATCCCGTCCAAACGTGGCCGGCTGAGAGCTTTTCAATAGCAGGGGTTCATGGACGGACTTCCATTTGCTTTAGCCCCCTGGAAGAAATAAACATATTTCCAGTAGTGATAGATTCCCTTTAAAACCAAAACTGGAAAATCAAACATATCAAAATTCAGCAAATGGAAGCCAGGATGTTTGGGCCGGCAAACCTGGATCCGGGCGCTTGCTAGGCCTTGGCCCTGACCTTTAGAGAGTGGCGTCCAGTGGAAGCCATGCAATTCTACAAAGCCTACCCCAGAATTTGCAAAGCACTGAAAGCAGCGATCCCTCCCATTCCATTACAGGAGCAACATGAGAGTAAATTACTTGGCACCCCTTGCGTGCCTCTTCCTTCTTCTCCTTGGCAGCTGCCTCCTCCATCTTCAACTGCTGCACCATCTCTTCCTCTCACATGCGAGCATGTGAGCAATGGATATCATGCCATATCATGCCACCTACGCTTAGGCGGGTGAGTGTTCCAGTTCCAGATTTCTAGTCGTTCCCAAAGTATAAATGACATGCCCAAAAGGGAAGCGTCTGGATTGAGGCATGGTTCCATGACTCCGCTGGTGCTTGGAAATATGTTTGTCTTAAGGGGCAAACCGCGCGTGTGTGTGTGTTATTTGGGTGTGTTTTCGGTGAAAATGACAAACATCACACGCATGTCAGTCATAACCATTTCCCTGTACGGGCAAGAACGACAAATAACCAGGTCAGTTGATCTCAAGACCTGCACCGTGACTAGGTGGGGGCTAGACTTTTGTTCAACTGACTTGTCTCAATCACCTAATTAGGCCTAGTGCCCACAAGGGCAAAAGGCACCCCCTTTCTTTGGTTGCTGGGATTCTGAAAGAAGCAAACAACACAATGGTTTCGCCTTGGTGCGACATTAGGGGTGTTTTCAAAAACGTCATCATAATTCCTTTCTGCATGGAACCCCGTACTTATCAGAAAGGAGTTAGATCAATATATGTATGGATTGCAATTCATCGGTACGCATGGCGAAGAAAAAACGGGTTGCTCCAAAACAACTGAGCAAAACGTGTGTCATGTCAGGTCCTGCTCCACGGTAATGGAGGCCAATCGGTCCTACGCCCGCCCGGCGCCGCTTCTTCTCAGGCTGTTTGCGCAGGTTAGGGGTCGTAGTTTGAGAAATCCCCGGCTGTGAAACTCGCAAGGGTCCTGTGAGCCTTTTTGGCGAGCCTTGTGGGGAAGTAATCAATACGGCGCCCCTTTTTGGCTGCTATCTTGTGCAGGGGGCACATTCGGACTGGAACAAAAGCATTTCGCCCCCCCCGCCCCCCCCCGCCACGAAAAGAGCTGAGCTTTTGTAGGCGCAGGCGCGCAAGAAAGGACGGACGCTAATCACAATCACAAGAACATGGTTTGGAGAAAATGGGCCCTGCACTGTTTTCTCGGACCGTTTGCGCTACTGGCTGCCGCTTGGAATTCTTCATTGGAAACCTGTCCTTTTGGGAGGGTGACGGAATCATCGAAGCAAGAAGCTCAGAGACACGCAGCCCAATGTTTGATGCGCACGACGCCCGCAAACAGTACATTGATGGGGGGGGCTGGGCGCCAGACGCATCTAAGATACAAGGAGCACCTCCCTGCTGCAGAGTGCACCAAAGCTGCTACTTTATAGCAGGCCCCTCAACATGATGTGCACGAGCAGCAAAGAAGCCGAGTTCAATGGTTGAGTTTCTGTCTGTGCTATGCTGAAACAGATTTTGGAGCTCTTGGGACACCTGGTGAAGATGAGGGTGTGGCTTGACAGCACTGCGGCTGTGGGCGTTTCTACCGTCAAGGGTGGCCGCCTTGCGTTCTAAAAGATTGTAACATCTTGTCCTCCCCGGAACCCGAGGCAACGCCCTGCCTAACGCGAATTCGTCACAGTCTTGCACTGCTCTGATGCGTCATGTCCATTTTGGAAAAAGGACGGTGTAAGCAAAGTCGGCCGACTGCCCGCCGCAAGCGCACTTTCCATGTGGCTCTGCGCGGCCACTGCGACAACTCTGCGCGACCACTGCGACAAAGCCATCAACCTTCTCAGTCTTCCATAACTTGGCCTCATAGTGCTAGGAAGTTTGTGCGAATTCGCAAAGCAAATTCCACCTGCGCTTTGCACAGGCCATGAACTTTTCTGCGCAGACTTCATTGGGCGCAACGTTCAACGGCGCGGCAAGATACTAGGCGGCAGCCAGATGCAAAACAACATGCGCAAATGGGACACACCGTAACACACCAAAACACCAACGGAAAACCAGCGGGGATGGTGCTCCACTGGCGCTTCGGTGGTGTGGCGGTTGTCCCGATGGTTTTGCAGTGGTGTCCGGGTGGTCTCCCCCAGTCGTGTAGTCTTGTCCTGCTTTGTTTGTTTTTGGTTGTGTCCCAGTTGGTGGTTTTGGTGGTCTTGTCTGAGTTTTGTGCGTGTGTGCGCGCACGCTTACAGAGTGGGCGCAGGCGTGCGTGCTTGTGTCTCCGTCGAGCGTGGCAAGCATGACTTGGATAGTTGACCTCCTCGGCCTCCTAGCTTGAACCGCCAAACACAAAAGAGACAACTGAAGCAACACAAAAATCAATACCACTTACTATGACAACTAGCTAGTTGGTTGTATGACAACACGGAGCGCAACTAAGAACCACCCACCAAACAAACAAAAGACAGCAATGTACTCATCAACTTCAGCCCCAACCAACCCGGCGACATCCAATTGACCCCTGGTTACCATGTTTCACGAACCAAGCTCGGCTCCCACAAAAGGAAGGAACCAAACCTCACAGGTTTCACGATGGTCACCAACTACACAGGCAACCAGAAGCGCTGGGAAACTGGTGCAAACAAAACCAAACCAAACACGACGACAAAGAAAAGCAAAAGCAAATGAAACCAAAAGCAAACCTAAATTAGGTTTGCCTGTGGCTGTATATATGTGCTTCTGCTTTAATGATGTCAACCTAAATCAAACTAAACTTGCCAAGCACACGTCGGTGCGAGCCCGTGTCGGGGTGAGCGCGTCCTCGGGACCGTGGCCGTACTTGGTGGCAAAGTCTCAGCGCAAACTTCGAGAATCCGCGTGGCCAAGTTTCTGAGACCGCCGCAACTTTGCCCATTGTTTCAGCCGGGTATGGGTTGAAACCAATCGCTTTTCAGCGTGGGCGAAATTCATCACCAGAAAAACACATAATACTTCTCTCGATTTGCCAGGGCATTTTGGGGACCTATTTTTTTGCCCACAGGTGAATAAGTTTCTGGTTAGTCTTTGGGGGGATAGGCAAATTACTCGCCATACACCTAAATGGGATCAAAAGCAAAAGACCTTCATGGGTCAACCCTTTTACTCTCGATGTATGAGCTCGATTTGACATGCTTAGAACCAAACGGACAGGAAACCCCAACTCAATGTCCAGAGAAACATCAACCAGAAAAACTTAAACTGAGTTGCAAAGTAGATCCCCCACAGTTCAACCCCGATTGAAAAACACACATGACAAGGACCCCATTTTAGATGATGGGCATTGTCAGGGTAGGCGAGGGTGGAAGTTATGGCCCCTTCTGGGACCCTGATTGAAATCATTACACTTCTTCACTGCTCTCTTTTTACTGTAACTTACGAACTCGGTAATGTTTGTACGACCATGGGAATTGAATTTAGGGGGTTACCTTCCTGCAGATTGACATGGAACCCTTTAAATAGCCACCCATATTTAGAATCGAAATTTGCTTTTGCTGCCATGGCTCCCCTGCTCTGAATCAGCAAACCAAGGACCATTTACTTCATGGGTTTTATCTCAAATTATTTGGGGACGCCACAATCGTTTCCTTTTGGCCATCCAACCAAAAGCTTGGGTTCGGTTCGGCAAACATACGCCGAGTTACTCCAGCAGGCGAACCACTTCTCCACCTGAGTCGGCGAGCTCATTTGCACCATCGCGTCGAAAGAGTCCAGGGTGTACCACCCTATTGTATCATAATGTACTGGTATGTACTGGTAAACCGCACTTGGTTCATACATGACATAACAACCATGTATGCATAATCTTTCGTAGCGTATGAATACACACACATGTGCATATCACATATACATATATATATATATACATATATGTCTTACATCTATGTACAGTTGTTTACATACGTAAAAAAGAGAGACATATCGTTTTGGACATGTTGTTTGAAGGTCGCCGACAACACTCCTTGATCCCATTTCCGGATTCCTGATGTCCGACATCTGCAACCTTTGGCCCGGTGCCCAATGGTCGGGTCAAAAATCGACACCCGTTTTATCCGTTAGTCGTTGATTTCAATGATGCCACAGATAATTGTAGAGGAAATTCATGCCTAAAACAGGGAGCCCTGGCACGGAGCGACGGGGTAAGCAAATTTCATTGTGCGCGCCAACCGCCACCAAACCAAAACCATCAGCAGATGATTCACAGGGAGCCCTGGGTAAGCAAACCTCATTGGGCGCACCAACCACCTCCACATCAAAACTATCAGCAGGTGAGTTGTTTGGAGGTGTGTAGGTTATATATAGTTGCAAGGTGTGTGCACGTATTGATGATAATTTTACCCACTCTCATGGGACCTTTGGATCAAGCCTACCAAGGGGAGTCTTGTCCTTAGCGTTTTCCTTTTTTTTAATTGGCTCCACCGGGCAGTTTGCCCGCCGCCATGAAGCTTTGGCTTTCAGGGAAACCTTAACTGGCTACTTGCAGTGGCTTTCCTGGCAACTAGGTGGCTTTACCTTGCAACCTTGACTCAGAGCCAGATGTGCATGAATTGCAATCGTTCAGGAACCTGAATTCAGGAGTCCAAGTACAAAACCTTCAGAGGTGACCTTGCTTTACCCCTGGCCGAGCTTGCCAAAACCTGCAACAGAGATTCCCGCTCGGTTTGAAGAGAGTTATCAGGCTAGGGCCAACAGGGGCCAATCGTCCGGGACTTCTGCTCCATCGGCTTTTGGTTCTGACTTCTGCTCTTCTTCTTGGTGGGGGGGGGGGGTCCTACGATTGCTTTAGGCTTCCAGCAATCGGATAGCAACCAACTGCATCGGGTAGTTCGCAGCCCGGACAATCCGGCACTCAAGTATGTTCAATGGACCAAAAATAGGGTTTGGGCTTTGAAATTGCCTGAGCGTCCTTGGCTTGGTACATGCTCCTTCCATACATTGTTCACGGGGGTAGGGATGATAGGATTGGGTGAGGTCAACGGCTCCCAGGCTGGGAGTTAATTTCTCGTTTCATGTTCACTCTCAGTTTCCCAAAACTGACCTGAATTGACTGGCTAGAAGCAAATGAGACTAAACTGTTTGGGCTTTTATTAATCAAATGAACAGTCCTGGCAGCAAAAAACTTCAAGCATGGACACTGAACAAACAAGTCACTCGCACTTTCTAGCAGGGGTTTGTTTCACACAAAATGCCCCCAAACTCCCCAACTTCCCCCAACCTCAGCCCCCTCCAAACCTCCCCAAACCTTCAAACCCCGCTTGGCGTTTTGCCTCCTTCTTTTAGGGCATTTGTGTCCAGCACAACCCTCCCAACCCCCCTAAACCCCCCCCCCCGCGTCCCGGGCATTCTTGAATGGATGAAACGTCGTGTCCGTCTGTCCGCAGGGCGCGGGCTGATCTCCGCAAGCCTCAGGGCGCCCGTCAAGAACCAACCGCTTCAAATTGTCAACTTTGGGTTCACCAAAAAAAACCGAGAAGGGTACCCGCAAAAAACAACCTCGTGTCAGGCGGTTTAACACTTCATTGTTGGTAGAGTTCCTTAAATTTTGTGGCTGGGATGGTTTTTGTACTGTTTTGTAACGCCTTCTCCGCTGCAGTGATTTGTTTTTACGTGTCAAATGGATCTGGGAGTGGACACCCCAAAGGAAAAACGAGTGGTTTCTTGTTTGGTTTCGCTTTGCAGCCTGACACATTGGACCCTGGCAACAAGCTCAGGCCCCAATCAACTCAAACTGTCACACTCTCACACACAATGCACACACAACAGTCACAAACACAACCCGCCCCCACAAACAAAACACGCACACAACAAACACCCAACGTCACACACACACACACACGACAAACAACACACAACACCCACACACAAAACACAACGACACACAAAACACACCACACATACAACACACACGCGCCCCCTACGGACACAAACCCATGACACACAACGCACACACACACACCACACACACACACTCTCTCACACACGAACAAAACAACACAAACACACACACACAAACACACACACACACACCCACCCACCCACCCACCCACCCACCCACCCACCCACGCACGCACGCGCGCACACACACGCACACCGCACACACACACACACACACACACTCACACCACGCACACAGCACGCAGTAGCACACGCGCAAACCACACACACACACACATACACGCGCAAACACGCACACACATCGCACCCACACAACCCGCACATCCACACACACACACATACCACACACACAGCACACACACACACACGAAGGCCATGCACAAGTGCACACGCACACGCGCATAACCACGCACGCACGCACGCACGCACGCACGCACGCGCGCACTGCACAATTGCCGCACACGAACACACTCACTCCCACACGCACACGCACATCACACACACACACACGCGCGCGCAGCACGCGCCACACACACACACACCACACGCGCAGAACATCCGCACGTAAACACACGCGCACAAGCGCACTTACACATACGCACCACGCACACACACACACACACACACACCCGCACACACACACACCAAACGCTCAAGCGCACACACGAACACCCACACTCACACACCGCTCACTTCTACCACGCGCGCAGTTACACAACACACGCCACACAAAAAGCACAGACACACACACACACACCAGACACCCACACACTCACACCCCGCACATGAACACATGAACACACATGCACACACACACGCCACAAACACACACATACACACACACATGCAACAAACACACACACACACACTAACACACTCACACCCCGCACACGAACCCACACGCACACGCGCACACACACGCGCGCGCGCAACAAGCACACACACACACACAACAAACAGACACACACCCACACACACACACCCACAACAGAAACACACTCGCAAACACGCGCACACACACACACATCTGGCCACAGGATCCAAAAATCGTGTGCGAGTTAGAAAATATTCTAGTTCTCGGACCAAAACGAGGGGTCACACAATATGAGTGTCTTCTTCTGGAGGCGTGGATGAATGATATACGCACGTGGTAAGCGTTGGCCCCGAAAGTTTCCATTGCAACCCGCTCGCACTCCCACCTCCAATAAGCCTCGCCTTCAAATATCGCACGGGCAAAACTGACAAACTCTGACCTGACTATTGCAACCCTGATCATCGGATATTAGTTTCAATCAATCAGTATCTTGATTTGGGTTTTATTTTGGGGCCAAGACCTATCTCAAATATTGACATATAACATCGATCTTGCAATATCTATATGTTGGAGCCCATTTCTGAAGCTTAATGTCAATTTTTTCTTCACCATCTGGCACACTGCAAAAAGGCCATGTTACACATGGGCTTTGGTATTGCCTCCGCCTGTCACACACACACACCTTTCTCCTGCGTGGGCAATTGCTGTCAGTCCTTTTGCAAGGACATGCGCATGCAAGGAATTAAGCCTTTTCCTAGGCAGCTTGGCCTTGCCTTTTCCAAGCCGCCTCCAGTCGAAGGTCCTGAAGGCAGCTTGTCATTGCCCAGGAGAGTACTCGGGGCGCAGACAAGACATTAGAGGAGTGGATGTTGCGCCATCGTGGCGGGATGTTTGGGTGGGGCTGGCTGTCAAGCTGCGCGCCACCCTGGAGCGGCACACCGGCCCTGCTTAGGGGCAAGGCGCGCCCACACACATTACACATACCATGGAGGGCTTTGGCTTTTGAAATTTTGAGATTCAGCTGGTCCATAGGATGCTCTCAGTCAGGCGCCACGTTCAATGAAAAAACACAGCTCCCCCCCCGCCCCCACTCCCAAGAGAAGCTCTCAGCAGCGGTCAGGAATGTTCTGAGCCCGGGCTTAGGTCGTGAGGTCTCCGGCCCTTCCATTCATGTGTAGAACGCGGAAATCCAACAATGAGCCCGAAAAATGCACGCGCTTCCAGTCGGCCTGGGAGAAGTGCACCTTTGCGTCCGCCTCCCTAAGCAACAGGGGTTGCCTGATAGCGGACGCGTCCACACACACACAAACAACAACAGCACACACACGAACACACAAACACACAAACACACAAACACACAAACACACAAGCACACAAACACACAAACACACAAACACGCAAACACACAAACACAGAAACACAGAAACACAGAAACACAGAAACACACAAACACACAAACACACAAACACAGAAACACAGAAACACAGAAACACAGAAACACAGAAACACAGAAACACAGAAACACACAAACACACAAGCACACAAGCACACAAGCACACAAACACACAAACACACAAACACGCAAACAAGCAAACACAGAAACACAGAAACACAGAAACACAGAAACACACAAACACACAAACACACAAACACAGAAACACAGACACACACACACACACACACACACACACACACACACACACACACACACACACACACACACACACACACACACACACACACACACACACACACACACACACACACACACACACACACGCACACGCACACGCACACGCACACGCACACGCACACGCACACACACACACACACACACACATACTCACACTCACACTCACACACACACACAAACATGCGCGCACACACACACACACAAAAAAACCAAACACACAAACACCGAGCACATACCGCACACGCAAACAGAAACACAACCAAGCTCACAAACAAACACACGAGCACAGCCGCAAACGAAAAACAGAAACACAAACACAAACACAAACTCAAACACAGATACAGGCACAAACAACGACACAAACACCAACGCCAACACCAACACCAACACCAACACCAACAGCAGCACACACACACACACCCGCTCCCACACACCCACACACCCACATATTGTGGCACCCACACACGTACACACCCGCCACACACAAACCCACACCCATACCCAACACACACACACACACACGCACGCACGCAGGCACCCCCACACACACACACACACACACACACACACACACACACACGCATAAACAAAAACAGCACACACACACACGCACACGCACACGCACAGACACACACACGCACAGGCACACACACACACAAACACACACACGCGCGCGCACACACACACACACACCCACACACCCACACACACACACACACGAACACACGCACGTACGCACGGACACACGCACGCACGCACGCACGCACAGACGCACGCAGAGACACACACCACACACACAAACACAAAATACGCAACAGCACACAACAGCAAACAGCAGCACACAACAAAAAGAAACAACACGCAACAAAACGCAACAGACAACAACTCACAACAACACACGACACCCCACAACAACACACACGGAAACACTAACACACCCACACAGAAAATGAGCCCAAAACAGGGGATCTGCCGTTTTGTACTTGGCCGGTTAGAGCGCCTGTTTTTGTATGACGAGCCTGTCCCATTGTGGGGTCGGCGGGTGCGTGGTCCCAAAGACTCAACGCACAAATGGGTCGCTTTGCATGCACGGCAATTGGGCTTCAATTTCAGGAGGGATTCTAACATGCATGCCAAGCGTGTGGAGTTTCTTGGGCAGAATGACATTGTGGGTCACAATTGGTTGTGGAGGGTTTCAATGTCTCTACGTTTCAAGGGTAGTCTCGAGAGCGCAACTTTCACGGGATCCCCAAAAAAAAGAAGTTCGCTCATGCAAAGGGAAAAGCCAAAACCAAACAGAGTAGACCAGCAGGGTAACAGCCCAAAACCTGCAAATGGAAGTCACAAGCGCTCTGCTGGCCGCATATCATACACTGTGGGAGGGTCCTGTTTTGATGGTACACATTTCTGGACAGTTTTCAAGGGGAAACCAAACAAGAACCGCTCATTTTGGAGTCCCCCCTATTTTGAGACACACCCATGTCTCCTTGTGTGCTTTCAGAATGCTGTCAATATCCGGATAAAATCCGTGGTCTGAGAGGATGACGTTCTCTACTGATCCCTAGCACTTCTATGGCATGGGCTTCGGCTTAATGGTGACCCTAGCAAAAGTTGAACAAAGATACTGCGACCATGTTGAACGAGAAAATGCCACCCAAACAAAAGGGGGTTTTGTTAGTGCCACAAAAGCAGGCCCCCTGGTAGACAACTCATCCAACGCGAATCAATGAACATCGAGCATCGACAGCTGGCGGCTTTTTGCAGCGACCATTTCTTGCACAGGTTTCGACACCCAGCAGGATTTGATTGGCTTAAAGCCCAATGCGCAGTAACCCCAATAGCCCCACATCGGAAGTCTCCAGGAACAAAGCCACTGCTGGTTTCCACATGCCTCTGCCCGGTGCTGATCAATGAGTTATGCCCCAACCCTAAGCCTTCAGTCCAGAGATTGGACCCCCCCGCCAAGGAAGGGCCTTTTCACTCGCCGCCTCGCCCCACCCGAACAACACCCAAATCCCACTTCCCATTAGGAAAAACAATGGCATGTGCTAGTAAAGAACCATGGTGGCCCTGAGCAAGTATCAGGGACCCCACAAACCCCCAACTCTTGGCGCTTTTTTGGCCTGGCCATTCGGCCCACAAACCACCAACCCCACAAACACCCAAATAACTGTTGGCCCTGGCTGACCACCCAACCCTGGGGGCGGGGTGGGGGGGTCGTTCTCTGCAGATCAGTGCTGAGGCGACGCGCAATCTCGCTCATGACGTCGAACTCGTTGACGCGGGTGAGACCCAGCTCCTAGGAACTAGCCACGGAGAGCGCAAAAGGCTGAGAAGATCGTGTGGTTTCCTTTGAGGTCGCCTTAGGTTCGTTCCCAAAAAAGCAGCGCGAATGGAAGTCTTGGAATTCTATGGGGTTCTTTGGGCCCCAGCCAAGGCTTTTCCAAACTTCTCCTCAAAATTGCCTTCCCACAGCAAGAAAGACAAAAATGTTCTCGCAAACATGATCTACCATCAAATGGTCTTGCCGAAACCAATTGGTTTTGCCATTCTTACCATCCAAACGGTCCACCTCTTAACCCCCGCGCTCCCCAAAGGCGGCCAGGGACACCATCCGAACCCAACTCCCGAGGCCAAGCGAGCCAGCCATGGTCAAATCTGGAACCATGAGAGCAGCTTGCCTCGGGGCTTCTGGCCAAAGAGAATTCCTCCAGTGCTCAATTGTGCCCCCTCTATCAAATTCGAGAGGCTTGGTTCTAGATGCTCCACCAACATGGTCAATATCTGCAAAACATAAGATGTCAAAACTGGGGTGTGTAATATATTCCCTACTATAACCCCGCCCATGAACCGGATAGTTCATGGAACCACCTACCAACATGGCCAATAGGATTCGATTTTGGCCACTGCCCGATTGCCTTTCCTCTGCTGAAGCACTCCGCTTTTAAGTCGCCTGCGGCTTGATTCTTTCTTCACCGGGAGTTTGTTACAAAACCAGAAAAGCATCCCCAGTAGCCAAACTGTTGCATTTTCATCACTGTCTCCCTCAAATTGTTGAGAATTAAGATGTTGAACCTTCGCATATTCACAGAAACCTTCCCAGCATCCCCGCAACTGTTTCAAAACAGCTAGATCTAGAGATACAGTAGAGAGAGAGAGAGAGAGCGACAGAATAAAAAGGCTGCTGGAATCTGCACTTGGGCCCCGACAATCATGCACTGGTCGATGAAGATATCCTCGCCCCAGGCATGATACAACAGATTGGAGCAAATCGGCCTCAGCGTGCGGCGGATGTGCAAAGGCCACAGAGTTTGACCCTCTCCACATGGACTCGTTGCTGCGTCCTTTCATGTTCAACCAAACATGGGTCAAAAAGCCAAGGTGAAGGCCTTCATTCCAACCACGAAGATATGCGAATAACGGGAACAGGACTTTTTGCTTGGTGCGATTGCCACATCAAGCCTTGTCGTATAAAAGCATGCCCAAAGAAACTGGTCCCCATGTCAGCGGACAAATGTTGACACCAGATTAATAAACCCAGCCGATCAATATGGGCGTGGGGTGGCCTGATTCCCCTTTTCAGTGCTCATGTTTTGCGTTGCATGGATCCTCGACTGGCAGCTTGCATTCATGGCACCCGTGCTGCTGAGGGGTATGTTGACGACTGCGCAGTGACAGGTAGCCTCACCCCTACTCTGCAATGGGTGCGGTGTGCGTTCAGTGGTTGAGGCAGCCTAACGCGTGCGAATTGTATGGGCAGCCTGAAGGTGACGGGATGGACAAGCTGCCACTCTTTGAGCAGCTTGGGTGTCAAATAAAACAGTTGGCGGGAGGCGAAGTGGCAACCTCCCACATGGTGCTGCTTTTATGGCAAGTCTCAGCAGCTCGAATCTGCTGAAGGCTTTCAGGAGTAACTTAGGTAGTGGGGGCAGTAGGTACTTCTGCAAGGCACAGACGCCAGAAACAAGGGTTTTAGTCAATAAGAAAGCCGGCCTGTGAATCACCTTGATTGATGTCTCTGACGTGCACCGAGGGGACACACCCCCTATTACTAAATTGGGGTTGATGAATCCGGGGTTGGCGCAACTTCACAAATTGAGTAGAAGCCCCGCTCTTTGAGTCAACCCGATGTCTTCCCGGAGTTGTGGGGGAGAACAGCACCGGCATGTTTGATCTCCATTTTTCGGTTTCAACCCCCCTTGTGTGGGGGCTAGGAAAGACCAAATGATTGCCCCCCCCTAATGTTGACCCCGGATCAATGTTGACCCCTGCTTATCAAATATGGGATTTTCCTTCCAAAAGTGGTCTCAACCCCCACTAGATGCCGGGTTGACATGAACACCTTCCTTGTGAAGGCGATCGGATGTTATGGTTGCCGTAGCTTTCGAGCAACCCTTTTAATCAATCCCTTGCTCGGGTTCTCATAATGGGGGCAACAAGTAGAAACCAAAAGTCGCTGGTCGAAAGGGACAATGTTGGGAACACCAAAAGCAAACACGAAAAACAAGGCCGGTAAAGTCTGGACACGTGTCTCAAAGGGGAATTCCAATGGGCGATTTCCTGTTATCTTTCCTTGAAGCCAGCCCAAGTAACAAGGGCATCCAAATAAACCGAAGCCATGTACCGCCAACATCACACGATCAGGGCATTGGCAGGCCGGCGATGTACGTGGCGATACATCTCCTGCTGAAGACCTGGCAAGAAACAGATCTGGCCATTTGGGTGAGCTCTTTTGGAAACCAACAGACCTAAAACACCGGTTCTGGGAGCACAACACATTTTGATACCTGTCCATTGAGCAGTGTTGTTCAACACTTGGGGGGGCATCCTAAAGTTATATAATCCGCAAGCCGTAGTGGGACGCTACCACAGCACTCCTTTTGAGGGTGTTTGAAGGGCGAGCCAAAGAAAGACCACTCTGTTTTCTGTGAGCTGGTCCATGAAAGAAACTTTTAAATGCCGCCCTGAACTTTGGGAGTACTTCCAACCATTCTTTCCAGGGCTCGGCAGATTTTACAACAACATCCTCAAGTAAAGGAGATATATCATGGCTTTCGCTCGTATCAGGTGAGCGAAAGCCACATCTTGTTCCGGTAGCGGGATCCTTCCCTCACGGAAACCGCTTTTTGAAACAACACCATGGAAAATGTTCATTCTAAGTCCTTTACGTAACCTACAATCTACTGTTAGTGAGAGGAGCTCCAAAACTGCTAAACTGCACTCAAGATTGTGAGGCAACCTTCCAACACAAAAACCAGGGATTCACTCGTGTTCTTCTGTCCTGGTAACGGCTCGCGTCTATCCGGCTCTCGGCCTCGATTGGACCATGAAGGCCCCACTGGCAGTTGTTGATGTACACTGCCTGCAGAAAGCGACCGCTCGGGGCTCGGATTCAGCGTGTGCGTAATTGGGCCACGGGCTGTTTCAAGGCGCTGAGTTTGAATGAAGAACCAATCCCCAATCCAAAATATGATTTCTTCAGAGAGGCCCTTTCAGTTTGGCACTCCAAGAAGCACTCCGCACTTGGGGGGCCAAACATGTTTCCAGAAAAGGCAGTCGAACAAGAAGCATCTTGAACCTGCATTCTATTGAAGGGGTGTACCTAAAACCTATGGTGGCCTTCCGCCGGAAACACCAGCTACAACATAGTCCAGGAATGTAGTCTTAAACTAACAACCCTTCAGCTTCCCTCGAATTGCTGGTGATTTGGAGGTTGGCGTGTGCTTACCAATCTATGCTCTACAAGAGCCAGGGGTTCAACTCCTCCATGCCCGAATTCCGAAACACCAAAGACGGAACCTGAATCCTGGTTTGAGGCCCTTGGATCATGCACTTTCCCCTTGTTCGGCCCACATCCGGCGATATCCCACGACTGGAGCGACGCGAATCCGGACTTTTCACAACTCCGCATCCGCGCGCGGGCTGGCGGGCGGGTGCCTGGAAGGCTTGCGAGTACAAAAACCCAATTTTTACAGTGGGGGAAGCGGAGGGATCGCCTAATTCGAATCCGGTTGGGTGTGTCTTATTTTGAGGGTACCAATTATGGGGTTGTTGTTGAAGGTAACCGCAAGAACACTATCCATTTTGGAGGTTCCCCATTTTGTGACAAACCCCAGGTGTACGTGCAGACAGGAAGCATTGAACATGAGTAGAACAATTTATCGATAATGTGGAGAAACAAGAAAACCATAATACCACTTCAATATTCCACATTAGCATTCCGGCAGACTCAGATAAAATCAAGGCAATTTGCTTTGGGCGGCTGAGATCCCCTGTTGGACTGATGAGTCCTTGTACGCCCATGAACACCCCCCAAGGAAACTCAATCAAAGGCGATGGATGATTCCAAGACTCAAAGAGACAGCATAGGAAGCCCTTTGTGAATGTGGGTTCCAGGAACAAGGGGACGACAATTGAACATTGGCAGTGTTCCTGTTGATTCCCCTGAGAAACACGCCAAAAGCGTACCCTTACGAACAAACATATAGGTGGTTCTCAAAATGGTGGACCCCTCTTGGTTGGTTGTGAATGGGAAATCAAAAAGGAAACCCAACCCACACGTGTGTGTGCTTTTTAAGATAGGGGTCTGCCAAAATGCTGGTTTTCCAACATTGGTTTCCCTTCAAAACAACCCCATCCCAAAACGGGCTGTTTCCATTTGGTTTCTCGTTAAAACACCCGGGGGCCCACCATTTGGAGACAGCAGTCTGTCTTGGTTGTTGTTTTTCTTCTTCTTTTTTTTTTCCGCGGGTACCTTTGGGATGGATTCAAATGCAAACCAAAAGGAACACCAACATTTTGGGTGGTCCAACCTAGAACAAAAACACACCCAGGAGTGTCTGCCCGAGCCGCGAGCCCAAGGTCTCGTTAGCTTGGGAAAACAAAAAGCGGCGGGGGTACTGGGGAATCGGGGTATGTGCGAGGATTCGCCTCCAAAGTAAAACAGCCCCCTGTTACTGTTAACACGCTGGGGTTGATTAACATGGGGACAACATCACCTGACAACTATGTCCACATTTCTGCTTCCCCGACATCCCTGCTAGTTTGTTTGTCTGATTATCTAGAAACCGGTTTGGAAGCGCATGTTTTGCGTATTTCCCCTGTTTTTTCTCCCTGTTGGTCCGTTTTTTGTAATATTTTAGTATTATTTTAGTATTCTACATGGGTGGTGAATCCACAGATTATCCACATCTGTAGAAAACAATTTGAATGTGGCTTTTGTGGAACCACCCCTGTACTAAAAGAGTACTACAAGACCACTAAAAAAAGAGGCAGGGAGGAAGAACAGGCAGAAATCCACGTAAAAAAACAAATCCAATCTGTTTGCTAGAGTAGAGACTTGGGCCACTTTATTTCTGGTTCACACGTCACAAGGCCAACCACTCGGACACAAAGGACGTTTAAAGCTGTTGGCTCAGCCACCGCGTTGCTTCACTTGTTCCCAAGCTCACATATGGGTCTGTCGTTTTCTGAGGATACCTCTTTTGGTTGGTCTTAAAGGGAAGCCAAAGGGAAACCAACCAGTTTGGGGGGTCCGCTAACAAAAGACATACCCATACGGCTATGGCTCAAAATTAAAGAGCCGGGGTTACGCGGGTTTCAGTCGTTGGTTCCATTTACCACGGTTTGGCACCACTTTTTTGAGCCACAGCCATATAAATTTCAACCAGTTTGGGGCGTCCGAAAAGAAACAAAAAGACATACCCGCATTTGAAAGTCATTTCCAAGCTCCGATTCGACCACAACCGAGCCGCGGATCCAAAGCGATGTGCGCCTCGCGAGGGCGGCCTTCATGGCGCCGTTGCCTGTGCGCACCGAGGCCATGTCCAAGCGCCGGGGCGGCGCGTCATAGCCTCCGGCGGGTTAAGAAAGGCGGGGGGCTCGTGGTCATGGTAATTGAAAGGGGTTTGACAGGGATTTGAAAGGGCTTTTTAGTTGAAAAGAGACTTGCCCCAAGAAAAAAGAGACAAGGAAGCAAGGCACTGCGGGTCTGGGAAGTTGGCGCGATTCCCTCGAATTGGTGGGTTGGGGCCCGGTGGTTTGGTGCTTGCGGGGTGAGGCTTCCAACTCATCCTCTACAAGAACCGGAGGTTCATTCCTGGGTTACCTGAACATACCCGTGTTCCAACAAAAACTCCCGGGTGCAAACTTGTGGCATCATTTGTCCTACTTGGCTGCGACAGCTTATAAAACATGCGCGTGATGGAAGGTGTTCTTGGTCTTTCGTGGGGCACGGCAAACCCCCATATGCCCAATAAGTTGCAAGACAGTTTGTCAAAGGTCTGCAAATTCTGGTTGCCTCTGTTTGGTGCCGCTTTTCTTTTGTTGGTTTCGATTGTTGGCCTCAGAGAAAGGCAATCCCCTCTCTTTGTTTAGAGGCAGTCATCACGGCTCGGGGCTGTTCCCGCTAAGGTTGGCAACCAAATTGTGTTGCGTAAGCGAAATCTGAACTTCCAGATTGGTTCATCAACTCCGTGAAGAAGCATTGGAGTGTTTGGCATTTGAAACAAACACCTTATGTGACTGTACATAAATATATAACAAACAATCAAATTCTTGAAGAAGCATCAAATTGTAGTCGTTTTCATTTTGTCTACAAACACATGTTCACCTTCTAAATAAAAATATACATATATATATATATATCTTTTATAATCAAAATAACGACGTCTGTTGAGGAGCACACCTGAACTTCTCTGCGGAATGGGCTCCCGGCTGTGGCCCGGCAGCACCTGCACCTGGTCGGGCAGCCTTCCCAGTCGCGCCAGGCTCCTTTGCAGCGCCTCGCCGTCGCCGCCTCGCCGAAGGCGTGCTGCGGTTTCGCCGGGTTCCGCCGATTTCTTGGGGCGGGGGAATTTGGAGTTGGTCCCTGGGCTCCCCTTCGATCCCCTGAAAGTGTCTAACCTAGCGGGTTAAATTATATAAATGGACACCCAAGCACTAAACCCTAAAACGTCAATGGCTGGAAACCACCAAGGTTACTTATTTTTGACAAATTGGATCTTCTTGTTTTCGTGCCTCATTCTTTGGGTTCCTCCTATTTTGGAACAAAATATGGTAGAGTTTAGTGAAAGTACATGGCAGAGTTCCCACCCTTTTTTGAGGGTGTGCCGTTTTCGTGGTGCTTCTTGCCCCTTCTTTGAGCTGTTTTGAATGGAAAGCATTCTCCCCGTTTGATGTAATCATGCCCTTTACTTACCGACATGAAAGAAGTCGTGTCGTCTACCATCAGGGTGTAAATATATCCATATCCAGGACTGAGCAGATCAACACCGCTGAGGTGTCATGAAGAATGGCGCAGACGCCTATCATAATACAAAAACAACAACCTATAAATCGTATCAAACATGCAGGAAAACTCAACGACTTGGCATCCCACAGCAATTCTTGGACCTGTGGCTGTGGGGCAAACATGTCAACTCCATCACCAACCTCAAGTGAACGGTGCTTGTCAGGTGGGTTCATTGGAGAGGCGGAACAGGCAACTTTTCTTTCCGGGCTGGGGATTAGGGGAGTCCTACTTGCTGATGGACAGACATCTAGAACATACAAGTCACACATGTTGGCTGCATTCGCATCAGTCCTGCCACTCCAAAGTCGCAAAGTTGGCTTTTGGTCCAGCTAGGAGGCTCACTGGGGTGTGTCTGTTTCGAGGATGCTTTCCTGTGTTGCGGCTTAAAGGGAAACCAACATAGGACAACCCATTATTTTGACTGTATATTTTAAGTAATTTACTTCTTTTTTTGGGGGGGTCTCCTGAAACAGACATACACGTCTTGAGTTGTCAAGAAAGGTGATGTCACCTCGAGCAGTTTTGCCCGCGCCTGGCAGGTCGGTCCTTCCCACGTTCTTCAGAAAGAGCGTGTCCCCCGTGAAGAGAAGGCCTGGGGCCATGTGCTTTGGCTTCAACCCGCCAACCCCAGGTATTTACAAAGAGCAACCGGAATCTCCCCAGCAGGTTTGGGAGAACGCACGCAGCTCCTGGCATTTTAGACAACCTGGTTGCAAGCCCGCACGGAAGATTAAGCAAAGATAGTCCAAAGATATTCAAATACAAACAAACAGAGCAATGAGGTGATTAACATTTCCCTTTGCTTAGGGTCTGTCAAAATGATGAATTGGCCTTTTGTGTGCTATCAGTGCATGGCTGTCCTATGCGAAACACTTTTCCTGATAGAACATCAAGCTGGATGGTCGCATTAGATGGCCAAGTCAGGTAAAAAACTCGGATAGGCTGGACAAAATGACAGGGTCAACGGACATGGGAGTAGGTTTTTGGGGGTAACTTTGAGAGGGAGGACAGGGGTTGCTTCTCACACCCACTGGCTTCAGCCACTTCCAAGCCGAGCACAGCTGTTTTTCGAGGAATCCTTGTAGGGCTCTGGATCCCTTTTTACATTTTTCGAGGTATGAAACGCAACCCCTGTGCGCCAAGGTGGATCCTTTTCTCTTTGCTTGCTGAGGGAGAAGGTTGGCCCGAGTGCAAAAAAAGTCAAAAAGCCATCGCTCAGGGGTCACTAGATCTCCTGTCAAGTTGCAACTTACTGGCGGTTTCTATTGAAACTGCTTTGGAGGCTCCAAAAAGAGAAATGGAGGAATCCCTGTGGGTCCCCAAAAACGCTCCGACCGTTTCTGCCGGAAAGCAGGTTTCGCGTCAACCCCGCAAAAACTTGTGCGAAGTTTGTCTCCAGCTCCTGGGCCCTTTCGAAGGTCAATCCTTCGAAATAATTTTAGGTCTATTTTGACAGCTGACTCATGCACAAAAACAACACTTGAACTTGACGTCAAACGGAGAACCTCAGGTCATGAACGAGGTCCACGTAATCCCGACAACATGTCTGGCGGTTCCGCACCTTGCCACAAGCTGAGACCATCAAAACATGTTTCGGGGGGGCCATGCGCTGTGTTATACGCAAGAAAGCAGAACAATAGTATTCCACTTCCTGGTTCTTTCCCTCAAACAGGCAAGATCTTCCAAAGGAATGAGCAACAAACCATCAGGTAAGCTCTAGTTGGTTTGGAGTTGGAATTGAACCTCCGCTTCTAGGGGGTAAATAGGAAACTACCCCCTAACCACCAAATCACAATAGCAAACCAAAAATGGTGGGTGTCCTGTTGGTTTCCCTTTACGAAGCAAGCAAACAAAGAAAACGAGCCACCCACATGTTTGAATAAGATGACCTGGCCGACACCATCCTTTTTTCCAGCAGTTAGAGAAGCGGCTTTCCCCGACTGCATTCGAACCTGAGAAAATCAGGAGACCATCAGAAGTGAATTAGAGCGTTGCCTTTCTCCTTGAAAGGAAGCCAAGTACGACTTTGATTCCTCGTGCTGGGCCGTTTGGGTCATCACCCAACCGCACCCCGCGCCTTCGGCACAGTCACCCTGCAGGCTTCCCCGCAGCCAAAAGGTCACACCGCCTGGCATGGCGAGTCCAGCAAACAAAGAAGCAAACAAACAAAAAAAGCAAGCAAGCAAGCAAGCGAGCGAGCAAGCAAGCAAGCAAGCAAGCAAGCAAGCAAGCAAGCAAGCAAGCAAGCAAGTAAATAAACACTCAAAGCAAGGAAGGGAATGGTGGCAAAATAATATGTTGCATCAAGGAATAATCCCCTTCCTGGCTGGTATTCATTGTGGAGCCTTTGGTGACATCATTCCAAAGGCATATATGTCCACCAACCATTTATGCGGGCTTCCCACATTCAATTTCATACTTTCACATTTGCCAGGAGTTCAAGTGCTTGAATAAATCCAACAGGTCCTTCTAAGTCAGGTCTTGGGTGGGATATACATCCCGTTTTGCCATTCGAACATGGCATGATCTTGCTGTGCGGTGATGTCTCAAGCGCATACTTTGAGGAATACTGTACAGAAGTTTGGGCGATGGGAGGGAGGGGGGGATGTGATGAGGGGGGAAGGGGCGGTGATGAGGGGGGAGGGAAGGAGGGGAGGGAGGATCCTTACAGGTTGCTGAATGAGAGCGCTGCCTTGGGGGGTGGTGACGGGTGGTGGACACCCTCCACTAAAGGGAGGTGAAGCTGTATGTTTTTGAGACATGGGTGGCATGGACCAGCGGCTAGAGGCTCTCGAGCCGAATCTGTGGATCGTGGTCTTGCTCCCCTTAAGAACCTCGAGGTTGATGGCCATCCCTACCAACCCAAAACTAAACGGGCCCTTTGACTGCGGCCCGTGGGTTTGCTTTGGACCCTCGGCTAGATGGCTAGCATCACACATCCCATCCTTTGAGCCAGACATCCACTCCGTGTCCTCGTCCTTACACAGTTTGCAAGCCCAAACTCAGTGGTGGCCATGGCAAAAAGGCCAGCCAGCATTGCTCGTTTTGGTTGACGTGGCAAATAAACTCCAAGCAGAACATGCTGAATCATAGATGCCGATGCGCAGGCCTTGACTTCATGCACGGACATCCTAGGTCCCTCACAACCATGCCCTTCGGTAAAAGGTAAATCTGCCTTCCAACCATGATAGAGTTTTGACACCCGCAAGAACAAGGCGCCTAGAGTGTGGCCTGGAGTGTCCATCCTCAGCTCACAAAACACATGTGCCATAATAAACACGTGGCATTAAAATTGTTTGACTACCCAGAAACATGTAAATTAAACAGGGTGGCCAAGGCACCCGTTTATGGCAAGGGGATTCTCCCCCAAGCTTCATCTACCCGAATCGATTTGTAGGGCGTAGCTCACATGATCTGTCTAATTGATCAAGAGCCAACTCACAAGGAGGAGCCATGGGAACTGTGTGTCCTTCAGTCTCTCCAGTTACCATGGAATGGCTCCTCTATGGCTCTAAATCAATGGACTTGCAGTCAAAGGACCTCTGCAATACCGTTCCAACACAGTCCTTGGCCTCCAGTCCCTAGTAGTCTATGGCTCCTCTTGCTATTGCTCATAAATATATTAGACTTGGGGTCAAAGGACCTCAAACATCCGGTTTCCAAACCCTGCTGGGTGTGTCAGCAGCGTTTTGCAGCCCCTCACTAAACATGAACATACGGACGAACAAGGCTGAACATCGCTAGAACGGATCCCTCCAGCAAGACAGAACGGAACCACAAGCCAAAGACACATACACGGCACGAGCAGTCCATGACACCCTCTGCCTACCCCGTGATAGTAGTTGCTCTCATCCGCTTCTTTCTTTGGCCATGTCTCACCTAGTGCGGATATGGACCCCCAACTTCCAAAGTATTCCACTCGCTTATACTCGCTTTAAACGTGAAATGACATTTGGCATCAAAGGAGACACATGTGCAGGTCTGCGATTGCACCCGCAAACTATTTGAGGGGTGCATGCCAGGACTCATTGGTCGTCTAAATAAGGGGTCATGGCATTTTCTAGCTATATAGTCCAGCTAGAACCCGGCTTGCTTCAGGCCTCAGGAATGGAATTCTGATCAAGGGGCCCCTCATAGAACGTGGGGAGAATGTTGGCGTGCGGTTTCGGCGATAGGATTGCTCTCAAGGCAGGGCAAAGAAAACCAAAGGCCCCGTCTGTAGACCCATGTTCCACTCTTCTGGTTAATCTGCAAGGAAACCAAAGAAGGAAGAGAACCACATCTCTTAGGTGACTCAAAACTTTTAGGAGACCTATGTTCCACCCTTGTTAATCTTTCGGGAAGGAAACCCAAAATTGCAAACCCTTGACCAATACTCCAGCCGCGTTGGATCCCTCCCGGCCGAGGATCACCAGGATTGGATGGTCCGGGAGCAGGGAGACCGTGTCCCCTGGCACAGGGTGCCAGACCTTTTGCCCCGTTTTGGTTGGACAAAGTCATCAGCAACCCCCCCTGAAGCTTGTTGGTCTCGTTTTGGTAAAAATGAGTTTCCCTTCAAAACATTTAACCCCCCCCCCAAGAAGGGTACCCTCAAACAAAAGCAGACGCATTTGCTTGTCAAACGCCCTCAACCGATTATTAAATCGTTCCCAGCTACCTTGGGTTTGCTGAAATATGATCCCCAGCAAACACTTCGGCCCATCGGCCTCAGTGGGGCTTTCTGCGCAAAAATCTATCAGCTTTTTTGCAGGTTTAGAGGCCTCTCTTCGACAGCTTGTCTTGCGGGCGCTCCTCCCGGATTCCATTCTCATCTAGAGATTGGTTCCAGTTGAGCGTTTGCGGGTTTCCCATACGAGTGATGCCAGGTTCTTCCAAAGTCTTGTTGGTCTCCTTGATCTTGCCGAGACGTGTCAAATGGACAGGTCTGAGTGCGAACTCGAAGCCAAGAGAGGGCCCTTCTCCATTGCTGTTTGCAGGTTGGAGAACCTTCTCCTACACTTCAGGAGCCCTGACTAGCGTGGAGCCGCTTCAAACCACTCCGGACAGTGAACTGAGTCCATGCGTTTTGCGTCCGAGTTTTGCCTTTTGGCCTTAAAGGATATCCTTTTTTAGCACACTCCTCCTGGGCGTCTGATTTCCAAAAAAACAGCAACAGCAAATCCTGCTTGGGTCAGTCAGGCTTGCCCCAGCTTTCTGAGTTCGTGAAAGTGTGACATTAGCTTCTAACTGGGTAGGTTGAAGGGAAACCAGGACCCGAAAGTAATTGTGAGCGCTCAACATGCAAACTTTGGACCCTGGTCAAGAAAGGAAACTTGCAAGTCTGTCCCGAACACCAAAGAAGACAATTCGAGGGTCAAATCAACATCAACTGACACAGTAGATTCCAAAAGGGATACCAAACACATCGCAAAACCCTCGTGGACCCTACTGAAACCAACCACATAACACACCAAAAGCAAACCAAAATCCCCCCCCCAAACAAACAGCAAACCCCCCAAACCGACAGCAAACCACAGGGAAGCCCAAAGGAAAACATAATGAAACCAAACACATGCTGAAAATAACCGCCTGGCAGGTTTCCTCTGGTAAGCGGCAAAACGTAAAAACCCAAGTGCTCTCATTCTCGTGTTTGCTTTTTTTTGATAAGGGGTCGCGTTGATGTTGCTTGAACATTAATTATCAAACCATCAAACTTGAGCCTGGATCAACAAGTTCAACCACCAGCGGACATCAGATGTTAGTCCTTTTTTCTATTCAGCCAGGCCCAGCCCGGCCTTCCCGCAGAGGATGCCACTTGGAAGCCTTGAGCCCCGTCTGCGCTGTGGCCGCCTCGATGTCCCGAGAGCCCAAGTAGAGCGGCTGCCCAGCGGCCTTCCACCAAAACGAGCTGAGAGACGCCTTTGATAGAAAATGAGTGTGGCTCAAAAGAAGGGGACCCGCAAAAGAATCTTTCGGCTTCCCTTCTAAAAAACACTCCAAACGAATTGCACTCCCACAAAACACACACACACAAATTGGTGTTGGACTGAGTCACTGCCCGAGCCTTTTTCGAGGCCCATCTAACCTGAGGCTTTGTTTCCTTGAGCTTTGTCCCAAATCCGCCTATGAAAATGGCGACCTGGGGGTAAGGCAAGCCAATGAGCACAGCCGTTGAAGCTCTAGTTCAGCTTCCAGCAAGTTCCCCAAAACTCACTTCCTGAGTGGACTGGCCCAAAAAGGTCCAAAACGTTTGATTTATATACCACTAAAATGATCTTCCCAACAAGTTTGAAGTCCAGGAACTCGGGGAGTGAGAAAGCGAAACCAACAAAGGCTCCGGCCCATGTTGGTCTCACACTCAATTCAAGCCCCAACTTGGTCATGAACGACTTCGTCCCCAAAAAAAAACACGGTGCCTTTTGTCTCGAAACGACCAGCAACCACCCGGAGGGGCCACGGAAAAACGAATTTCCCAGCGAACTCCACGCCTCCAACTCCTTCGCGCCCTGAATCGGAACCCCTCCGGCTCCTTCCGGGTAGGCCATGCTCGAGACGAGAAATGGACGCTGTCCGTTTTCGGGTTTGCCCTCAAAGTGCCCAAGCTTTTAGTGGAAATGGACACCCGACTCGAAACCAACTAAAAACAACGAAAACCCTCAGGAGCCGGATAGCTGGGAACAGCCAAGACCAAGCAACTGACTGGTAAACTCAAAAAACCCAAGCACGTGGTCGCCGAACTTGGATTCGAACTGGGCCATGAACCCTCTAAACCCTTGCGCCGATTTGAGCTGTGCTCGGCACGAAGCTTACGTTTAAAAGCAAGTGGAACCTCCTAACAGGATCCAGCAGAAGAAAAGGTGTTCACTGGAGTTAACCCTATTAGATTATGTCAGTTCAATAACTTCCACACACACACACACACGTTCTGCCTGTTGCTTGCCCACTTTTGGTCACCCCTGAGATGCAGCATGTGCCCCAGCTTGGCTCTGTTGACACCTGAACAACCCGTAGCAGCTTTCCCCCCCCCCCCGAGCTCAGCGGCTCAAAACCAATTTTTCAAGCGGTCCCCAAACCATCAAATTCAAGACAACGTCTGTATTAACAAACACAAAACAAAACAGGCAAACAGTCGCACAAAAAAAAGGGGGGTGGGTGCCCACGGGAGTGACCCTGTTGAACATGACTGTTCCGGGGTCGTCTGTAATGTCAAGCTATTTGCTTTGGGGAAGTGACATCACCCGCTCGAAGCCATGGCCTTTTGCGTGTAGAGGGTTTAGATCCAGGAAATCTGAGAGCAAGTCCTGGCAACACTAAAGTTAGACACGGCAATACTAAACTAAGTACTGGCAATCCAACTGGCAAAACACAACAAAGTACGATACTTAGGTCATCCAAGCTCCCTGCTAGACCTTAATGGAGCACCGCGAGCACTGCTTGGACTGTTGGGGGGGCCGCTAAAACAGGTTTTACATTCTCCAGATGCCCAAAGGGGCCCACTTAGGGTGTTGATCACTTTCAAGAGGCGACCTCACCAAACAGAAAGGGAATTTGCTGAAATCCACTGACCAACTGGGAGTGGAAGCCTAGGGTTTCTCTGGCCAGGCTTAAAGGGGCAACAACTTCTTCACGGAACTTTTGACTGTATTTGGATTTGAAAAGCGCCTGGGACGGATCCGCCCAAATGGTCATAATGGCCATGGGTGTAGAGCGCCCCCACCAACCTGACGAGCTACTTGCTTCAGGTAAACCCTTGACTCAGGGAATGAACTTGTCAGCTAGTCAGATTGGGAGTGGCACTGCTTCGGTGGACATTGCCGAAAAGTATCCTTCTACACCGGACAAAGCAATCTCAAATCAAAAAAAGGGCGCCCTGGGAATGCACGTGTTTTTCCTTTCACACCGGACACACAGCTTGGGGGTCAGAAGACATACAGATGAAGCACCCGTTGCCCACCGAAGGTCCAGTCTCATGTGGTGCCAATCGGGTTATTCATTGGCCGCTCTTGGCTTCTAGACTCTAAGTGATCAACAAGGGCTGGAAAAACCGACCCCGGCGACGGGTGGTTTTATGGAAGATATCCTTTTGGCAGGTTCTGGGAACAATTGTTTTGGGGATCTGTTTGGCTTACTCTCCACATGATAATTAAATTATTCATGCTCTCAAGCAACGGCCACATGGCTGCTCATGGAAAGCAATCGGGTTTTCCGCTTTGCCACTTTCCAAAGGAAACCTGCCAGGGTCGTTAGGGTAGAAAGCTGATCAAAAGCGGCAAACAAACTTGATCCCACGCCTGCCCTCGTGGTTTATTTTAAGCTCACACTTTGCAACAACACCCTCCCACCTGAGCGATGCAAGTGCTGGGAAGCAGTGGAAACTGCTACCGGTCTCATGAACAAAAGGTACACCCAGGCGAAGCCCCAAAGGGCTTAAACAAAACAGGCGGCATTCATCTGGGCAAATTACAAAACGGAAACCAGGAATCCCCGCCTGAGTCAGCTGGTATTGCCCCGAACGGCGAGCTCGCCATAACTTTTGCAAATGTTTCACTGGGTGCCGTGGACGGTGACCCCAAATATCCACCAACCCGTGCTTCTTTTTCGTGGGTGTGGGCAACCCCGTCAAATCAACCAGGAGAATCCCGCTCCAAACAAATCAAACGCAGAATCTCTGCTCAGATCCGGGGTTCGGGGGCTCGAACGGCTCTCCGACTCGGGGACTCGGCCTCAGCTCCTTCTTCTCCAGGTACCGCTGGATCCTTGGCACGTCCCAGGCGGCGTCCACGGTGAGTGCCACCTCCCCGTTGTCGATGATGTACCTCTGGCTGGGTGGGCGGCCGGGGCCGGAAAAAAAGTTTGGAGGCGCAGGCTTCCCTATGGTTCCCCTTGTGGGTTTATACACATCACCCTTTGGACCAGCTTAAAAAGAGCTTCCTTTTGGTGGAGTAATGCAGAGAGCTCTTTCAGCTTGGCTTAAAAGGAAATCAAACAGACACTCCCTTTTTCCTTGCGGGGTGGGGGGGGGGGCCGACGTCCCCTTTTTGTGACACATGAAACGACTGCTTTAGAATGATATCGGATAAGCTAGATTCCTGCGGATGATTCCTAAAGACTGTCCTGTGGCCCCATTTGTCTTTGATGGTTTGGTTGCAACTTCCCAAGTGGATTGGCCAGAAAATGTCCACACTGTGTGTTTACTAAATGTATTTTCAACAACAACACGCGGCAACCCCCAGAAATTTAGCTTTTGATATCCCTTCAAACCAATCTTGAAAAAGGTACCTTTCAACCAAGCTGCAACCGCGAAACTCTGAACATGGTCTTTCCAAACGGGAGAAGATTTCCACCCATGGAAACTGTCGGTGGACTTGGCTTCCAACGCGGGCTCTATCAATTCCTCACAAGAGTGTGGTGTTCCTTTGGGTATTCTTTTTAGGAGGTTGGCTTACACCTAACCCAAAAAGCCTACGCATCTTAACCGTTAGTGCCCCCCTAGGTTTGCCACATGCCCAGAGGGGTTGACAAATTTGATCTCCTGCAATGGAAGCCTTCGCATCACCGAAACTTGCTTCCAGCCGTTTTTACCGAGTGTCTCTAAGTTCGGGAACCCCGCGATTGAGATTTCTTTTGGCTTTCCATTATATAGACACGAAGACACACACACACACACGCCAATTGGATCTAATCAAATGACTAAACCCGAAAAGTTGCGCAAATTTGATGGCTCCCAGCTCGCCCTTGGCTGGAGCTGGAGCCAACCATCCACATTCCGGTCCTCCACACCCCCAACTCCCAACCAGCCCTTGCTTTCAACCAAGGTTGCCAAAGTCAGATGGAGAGACTGACCTCAAGAAATGCTAGGGACCAACTACCCTCCCTTCCACAAACATAAACCTGACTGAGAAGTGCTCAGTGGTGGGCTACATGTTACTGGACAGGGTGATCCATCAGGATATGCTGCCTGGCGGCTGGTAGTTGGCCATCTGCCCAAGCTGCAACCTTGAAACACACGTCGGTTGTTCGGTTTTGTATCCAAGCGGAAACGGGAGCATCAGTTTGTTACAAGTACCAGCTGGCGCAAGATTCGGTGTATCCACAGTATTTCAGAGGTATCTCACTTGCTGAGTGAATGCGCCAAAAACAACTCGCTGGTAACTGGAAACCTTGATTTTGCTCCTTTGCTCGCGGGTAACTGGGTACACGGTCATCCCCTGCTCGTTTTCTCGTCTTTCAACCCCAGCCAACATATGCTCACATATATTGTTGTGCACCCACCGACATGGTCTCTCCATAAATAAGTCCTAAAACTTGGGAAGTGAGAAGACTTTGGGAGGAATCTTTGGCCTATCTTTGGATAAAGGGTATACCGCCAAAACCCCGTAGAAGGGGCCGTAGTCACCGTTCCCTTGCTTCCAACTTGCAAAATGGTTGTTCAAATTCTCCATAGAGGGTCCATAGAGGGTTTGGCCAAGGCACATACGAACCAGGGACATACAACGCATAGGTGGCTACCATGCAAGTCAACCGATTTCCGTCGCAAGCTGCACAGTTCTATGTTGAATCTCCTGAAAATGCACAGGCAAAACAGGGTTGTACTTGTTGGGCATGGAAGGCCAAGAGTCAGGTGTAATTTTGCGCAAATTGGTGCATGGACTTGAACCCAAGGTGCCACAAAAGGAGATGGGTTCTCCAATGTTGCGGGTTTTATGTTCATTGCGCACCCCTGAACCTCTGGATGGTTTCGCAAAATCCAAACATCTCACGATGAAATGACAGCATGGGAGTGAAACTGTAACGTTTGTGGGTATTTGCGTTGGGGAATCGAATGTTTCCAGGGTTGCTGAACGCTGGTGAGAAATGGATTTTGTGCGTCCACAGTAGGATTGACAGTTCGCATACCATCACTCTAGGCAGGTGCACAGCATCTCAATTTTGTTCTACTCAAACCCGCCGCACAGTTTTTTGAGGATCCACTCAGAAACTTCTAAACTCAGCATCATTCCCCTAACAAAGGACACCATGCACCCCTCAAAAAACAACTGCAAACCCCAGCACCGCACCCCTCCTTGCAAATCTCGGGACAATCCGTTCAGAGTTCTTTATTATTCTCCTCAAAACATCACCCCTACCAGGGAAACACACCATAAGCGGCCACAAAAGGTGATGCTGAAAAGCGCCAAAACGGGAAACGGGAAACCCTGGGACATCCGCCCAAACAAAAGGATCGCGCGCTTCACACGCGCAATCGAGGCGCTGATGCACATGCACGCCGCCGCAGTCGAGGACCGCAGCGCCTTGAGCATGGCCTCGGGGAAATAACCCAACCCTCACTTCCCATGGAGTGTGTTGATTGCACCTGCCCAAACGTTGTTTTTTCCTTCTTCTTTTTCCGGAGTTCGCCCTGTCTCTTTTTGCCCACAAACGACTGCCCTCTCGACGCCCCAAACACATTTGCGTTGAGATGGGTTTCCCTGGCACAAAGTTGTGAGGCCAATTCTCCCGCGTGTAGAGGGCAGGGACTGTTGGCCCCAAAGAACTTTCCGCGGATCCTCAACAGGCAACTTTGAGGTGAGTGCGCAAGGCTTCCGAAATATATTATCTTAGCACAACCAAAGGGATGCTTGCTTGAGGAAACTCAAAGGCCTCTCCACCCAAAAGGGGCGGCTCTTTGGACCTGGGTTGGAAACTTGTCCGAACAGTGTGTCGTTTTCGAGGGTATCTTGTGCTGGGGTTGACAGAGAAGTCAAAGGGAAACCGGGGGATCCCCATTTGGAGACAAACCCACATGTCCAACCTGTAAACATCATTCCAAGTGAAACCCGCTTTATTCAACTCTTTCTGGTTGCGCGAGCTTCCCCACACCCAATCCATCTATCTTCTGCCTTACAATCATGGAAGTAGCAGCGGGTTTTCCTAAACGACAGTAAGTAGTCTTCCCAAAATCATGGTAATCATGTTGGCTGTAATTCTCGGACAGACTAGATTCTGGCAAATAGTTCAAGTTCATATGCCTGTAAAATTGAATTGGGACACCCTCTTGAAAGTGCTTGGTGGACAGAAATCCCAACCAAAGGGTGCCTTAAGATCCACCCACACCCATATTTCTGGTGCGGGACAATGACGGACTAAAAGGCCACTGGTTGAGCGGGATGACGGCAAGGCCATTCAATCAAAAACGGCAAGCGGTAAGCTTGGTCTGGCAATCGATTGTTGGGAGGGTACTTTCGGGTTACTCCCCTACACGTCTTCAAGTGGAGCCACGATGCCCCAAGACAGGGTCCAATTGCCAAAAAGAGCTTCCTCCAATCATGGCTTGTTGGGTTGCCAAAGACAAATTCCGCTGGTGTCTCGCAGTATTCATAGGGTTTCATCCATCCCAACTGCAGGACTCTGTCCATCGGTGTTTGATCTGCAGAGTAACCGAAAAAGAAAAAAAACGTGGACCAAAACACATGCCATTGGGCTGAGCGGCCCAGCAGCAGCAGAAACCGCAGCATGGCTCCGAACGCTCCACGCGCTTTTGGCTAGACCGCGAGCGCGATCCCCCCAGTGAGGCGAAAGGCGATAGCCCTTCACCCTACCTGAAGAGGTGGTGAGTTTTCTTTCTTACTTAAAATCCCGCGAAAGAAGGCGACGCTTTCTTTAGGACGCAACAGCTACCCTAAGTTTTCACGAGCAAAGAAATATATGCCCCCTTGCAAAGATGTTGTCTCGATAGCAGGTTGGCAGGTTCTGCAAGGCTCTGGCAAATCTGTCCAGGACGCGCAACTAAATCGCAGGGCTTCAGACACTGCCAAGACACTGGTCAACAAAGCAGGGGCTTACACTGCGTCGCATGCGTCTGTGTTTCATTTTGGGCTCCTCTTGAGGAAGCTCAGCCACAATCAATCCAACAGCTCGATGTTGAAACTGGCTTTGATGGGACATCGACCCCTGAGCCGAACTGATTGCACTCGAAAATTGACATGGATGGATGCATGTGTGCGAGAAGCTATCTCCAGCCAGAATCCTCTCCGCAGCACACAAACAATTCACACATGGGTGTGAATCTTGACAGGGGACGCTTTGGTGGACGTCAAACTTCAGAGGAGACGCATGCCCACCAACAACTTGTGAGGTACTGTCCAACAGTTGGTACTGTAGCAAACAACTTTCTCTTTTGCAGCACCCTACTACAAATAAACAGAACCGCCAAGGAATAACCAGACACACAAAATTTGATGTCCAGGGATGGGCCCCCCACCTCATGTTGGCTGATCGGACAAAAGCGGGCCACGTCATCTTGTTCAAACATGTAGGTGTCTCTTTTTTTGGGGGAACCCCGTTTTTGAAGGTTTTTGTAGGGACACCAACAGGAAACCCACCATTTTCTCAGCTTCCCTCTAGCCTACAAGAACCAGCTGGGGTTCAAATGCCCAAGCCACAGAACCAAACCACCTAAGAAGTGTGTGTTTTTTCTCCCAAAACTGCAGGAACCTTCAAAAACCGAATACCCCCTATCAACCCACACGGTGTGGCCGACAGTACTCCCAAACAAAGTCCAAGAGGCTTTGCTGATCCTCCCGGCAGTCATAGCAGGTTGGGACAGTGCTCCCTTAAGGAATCACCGGGCACCGTAAAACTGGACTTGAAAAGTGAAGCATGGTACCCCCCTTTTTCCAAGAACCCTCCCGACCCGAGTGCAAGGGCAGCCCAGCGCGGCCTGTGAGGGCGGCAGATCGCACGCGAAGTCGTTGCAAATGCCTCAAACGCCACGCATGACAAGCGAAACATTGGAGCTGTTTGGAACTCCCACAAGGAATACAAGGGCACGGGGCTTGAAAAGGAAAACTGCCCTTTGATTCTGTAATTCAAGGGGGCTAAACCTTGGCTGGTTTTGGGGCCTGCTCCTTCTTACCCCCCCCGAAATAAATCGCTGCGGCGAACTGAAACTGCGTGTTATCGCCAAGGCAAACAGGGGGGTTATAACCTAACTTTAAAAGGGGAACTGCTGCTCCTCTGCTTGTTTAGTTGCTACCTTGGGAGAAAAGCCAACATACGCAAATATGGTTGCGCAATTATCCTAACTGATGGGTAACCGATGGGTCGGAACTGTGCAGCCGAGGGGGCCTCTCCGGCAAATCATATTTTCTCAAGCTTGCATTACTTCTTACATGACTTTTGGCTTTACCTGGGTAACATTCAAGGAGCTACATTTTCAGCAGCAGTAAGCCATGCAAACTTTATCAACTGGCCACTGCCAGTCTTGAGCTACTGCGGCTGATCTCCATGACGGCTTCGAATGGCCCATACAGTATGGGACACGTTCTGCTCCGCTTACCACGCAAGAAAAACACTATAGCCCCTTGATGGATGCATACACGCACACCCGCACACACGCACACAGACACAGACAAAGCCACACAGAGACGCAGACGCATATACCGACACAGAAAGAGACACACACACACAAACAAACAAGGGCAACCTCCACACAGACACTCACACAACCACAAACAAACAAACCAACAAACAAACAGGTCAAACCAAACCAAGCCAAACAACCAAACCAAAAGAAACAAACTAACAAACAATACAACACAACACAATACAAAACAAAACACTGCAAAACACACAAAACAACAACATAACACAACATAGCACAACACAGCACAAAACAAACAACACAACAACACCAAGCAAACACATGCACAAACACCCACCCTATTGGCGTTTCGGAGAGAAGTGTCCCTTTCAGAACCACCGGAGGCAAAGGGGTGCTTTGACCCTTGTCTGAGGTTCTTTCGCAATCGCCCCCGTTGTGGGGCGTTTAAGTGGCTGAGCCTTTGCCAAGTGCTTCGAGCTCACGACCCCACGCAAACTCTTGTGGCCACCCGCGAAAAGAGTGGCATCCCTCGGATGAGCTTTGTCCCAGGCTCAGCTTGGTTTTAGGTTGTCCTGTTCGAATGCGAATCACTTTTTGGGAGCCACCTGGTTTTTCAGATCATGGGCTCCCTCCATTTTTCCACTTACACCGCGCCGCAAAGGACACTCCACTGAACATTGGCAACCAAGTGTCTTTTTTTTGAGGTACCCCGATTTGGCTAGGTTTTAAAGGAAACCAACAGGAAACAACACCAGTTTGCGGGGGTATCCGCGAAAAAAGACACCCCCAAATTGTTTGAGGTGGACGTTTTCCACAAACTTCTAGATTGGAAAATATGGCTGTTTATCTGAGGGTAGAGGTCCTTGTAACGGGAAAACATTTCCTGACAAGTATCCGTCTCAGTAGCACAATGTAACGCAGAACAACGCAGAGCAGCAGCTCCCGCTCGAAAGTCGCAAGTACGCAAAGCGCTCCAAGCGGCAGAGGGGGGGGGGTCACGGGCCGGGGCTGTGGTTGGGTCTGTAACGAGGTATGTAACGGTTATGTAACGAGGTCTGTAACGAGGCAAAGCAAAGCCCAGTACGCAAAGCACGCCTTGATTGCAGCTATTCAACGCAAGCCAAGCTGCGGCAAAAAGGGGTCGCTGGCCCGGGCTGGGGCTGGGTCTGTACCGAGGCTCTGCAGGCACCGATGGAAAACAACTGAGAGTCAGTGCATGCATTGGGGTATGTAAGGAGGGGCATGCAACCAGCCAAGCGATTTCTTCATCTGGGGTGTGTAACGAGGGTGTGTAACGAGGTCTGTAACGAATGTCCGCCACGGCTCTGTTGCAGACCCCTCAAAAAAAAACACTGCGTATGAGTCAAAAATAGGGGGCCCCAAAATGGCGGCTGTCCTGCTGGTTTCCATTATATCAGGGTGGAAAGGGTACCCTCCACAAAACACACAGAACCATGAGCGTGTCTTCTTCTGAGGCTCGGTACCCCTGCTTTGGTGGTTGTGAAGGGACAAAAGGACACCCAGCATTTTAGGGGTCCCAAAATTGGCTGCCGTAAGATCCCCTGCAAAAAGCTGCTTAACTTGTGGCGGGTTAAACGGGACCCCGCACCAAACCCTCGAAACCTTAAACAAAAACCTAGGGGGATGGCCTCACTGCTGACTTGATGGCCCAAAATTATTGTCTGAGACTTGTTGTTTGCCGCTGAAATGCTCCAACCCCAAAATGCTCCAACCCCCAAATGGTCCAACCCCGAAAAAGTGACTGAAGTCCCTGAACTCGGGACGTGAGCGGCTGGTCGCCCTGAGAATTTGGGGCCGGCACACCCGCAGTCCACAGGAGGTGCCCTGGCAAAACTGTTTGGATCGAGGATGGGCTTCTTGCGTCAAGGGACAAGGAAAAACCACCCGTGTTTCGATACTCGGTTTATTACAACCAACCATAGGGACAAGGAAAACCGACAGATTCCCGAATTTGCTTTGAGACAACCAAACAACGTATTGGGCCTCAAAGCGCAATCATCACCGCAGCACACCTTGAATGAGCCAAACTGATGGTTGCAACCACCCACAAAAATCATAGGGACCCCATGAACATTGCGCCACCTATTTCAGCTCCCAGCAGCCATCATGTTTTTCCAGAGGAAGCTCCTCTTGATTCCTTCAGAGTCAACAGCACTCCACCATTTCAAGTCAGGAACCCACCAAAGGGATTTGGAGGGTGCCGCTGAGACTACTCTAGGAAGCACCACTTGGGAGATGCAGCCTTAAACCGCCAACCAAGGATCTCTAATTACGGTAAATTTCTGGTGAGCCTTAAAATGTAAACAATCAAATGACTTCAAATATGGGCTTGCTTAACAAATGGAGAACGCCCCAAAACTGCGTAATTGCCTTTCCCTCAAGACAAAAAGCAAAGCCACCTCCCCCCAACTTGCAATAGATGAGGATTGAATATCTGCCCTGTGTCCCGAAGCAGGTATTGGCCAGTTGTCAATGCGACTCACCCTTCCATCCCTCAGGCCGGGTTTGGACCGCACGTGTTCAAGGGAAAACTTCAGAGGTCACTTTGAGCGATCTGTCTGTCCACTGACATGCGGATACCAGCGCGGTCACGGGGACAAATTAATCCTTTGGACGGTTTGATCTTGAAAGCCTAAAACACATGAACCAAAAAAGCGTGACCCTGGCACAAGGCTAGACATTTGGGTCCTGGAAAAGTGCACATCAACTCACTTGCCCAAAGGGCCTGGAGCTGAAAGGTTAACCTTTTGGAACCTTGACCAAAACACAAACATCAAAGGTCAAAAAATGGATTTGCTTGGGACAAGCGAACACAGGAAAACAAGCTTCTGCCATTTTGTTTTGGTCATCTGAAGGCTGGAAGCACCATCCCGCCCCAGTCTCAAGACTGGCTTCAGACCATCGTGACGGTGCCCGCGGAAAACAGGAACAAAAGAAAAGGCGGACCTCCCGAGCGCTGAGTCTTTTCAGAGCAGATAAAAATCACTAAGCGGATAGGGGAGCACCCAGAGATACGCTTTTTGGGCCAGTGATCTTTCCGAGCATGGGACAGTCACGGACCCCTTCATAGGGATTCTAGACAACCAACAAGGATTCCAATTCCAAACATAC